CTCTCTCTCTCTCTCTCTCTCTCTCTCTCTCTCTCTCTCTCTCGCTCTCTCTCTCTCTCTCTCGTAACAACCATCCCCCCTCCCCCTACCCTGGAGCCCCTGTTTTCAGTGTTTTTCGTTTGTAACCACAACCTCAAGATTGTGACAAGAAGGGGTCTTGGGTAAGCTATGGGATTGAACTGAGTTTTGGCTTTCTTCACTGCTGATATTCTTTCTTTTTTTATTTATTTGTTTAATTTTTTTTTATTTGCATGTTTGTGGTAGTTTCATTATTTTGTAGAAAAAAATGAAGAATATTACAAGCACATCTTACTTCTAAGAGGCAGACTTCTCTGAATGTTGCTAGAACTCTTAATTAATTAATTTTTTGTTTTTTCTAAATGTGATTACCTGACTGATATAAACATGTAACTGGAACAGAGTAATCATCGGATTAAAGAGGAATTCCATTCCTTTTCATTTGCTTTTTAGTTCTAAAGGTGGAGCCTCTTCATTGTTCTGAACAATTTAAAAGGAACAAGCAACTGCCAAAGGAATTTAAGAAAAAAAATAGCGTGCTTAAGTTGAATATTGAATGAGTTAACTAGAATAAAGCAATAAGTAATTATCTGATCATTCTATCTATAAAATAACAAACAATAACCGATAATTCAACTTTATGGCAGTTGCTTTTGCTATGCTGGGGGAAAAGACCACAGTCATGTCTCCTCAAGTGCTAATTGATGCAGGTGTACCCTGCTGCAGGTGCTTTTGAATTTTGTTTATTTATTTTGATTATTGAATCTTCAAATGTCCAAGTTTTTGTTCTCTATTCTATTCTTATGGCTTTTACTTGTATAGTATCTCTTTGAGTAATGCAGGGAAAAAGAATAATTTGATGGTCAATTTATACTTCCCTTTTGCAATCAGGTTGGTGCAAAATGCAGGGGAGTTTGTTGTCACTTTTCCAAGGGCGTACCATTCAGGTTTCAGTCATGGTGAGACATTGTTTTTATGGTTGCATTTCACTTCTATGAATCAATTTGTGATTGGTTTAGCTGGGGTCATACATTAACAGCTAGCCATCCCAATGGAGATATCCTGCCATAGTTTGAGAAACTGTTGTATTTTATTTTTATTTATTCATTCCTAGTTCAATGCAAGCATACAACAGGTTGAGTCTGACTACATTATTAAGAGAAATATGTGGTGGAATATTCGGTTTTTTTTTTAAACGATGCAAATTCTTTTGAACTTCTTTATATGATGCAAATTGGGGTTTTCATTTGAAAAGAATATAGAGAAACTAAGGGGTCTTGGGTTCCTGAATTAAAGGTTTTAAAATGAAGCAAAGGTTAGCTACCTCTATGCTGTAAACAATAAATAGAAAATGTTTCCTTGGGGATGACTTATATTGTTCTTGGTGGCTGTTTTTTATCTTGATCTTTAGTGATTTCTGGTGGTCAGATTATAATTGCTCTAGTAAGGTGAAATAGAAAGTACTCTAGTAAGGGTCTGGCTTACCAGTGGATAAAAAATCAAACTTCTAGGGTGAATCTGTCAAATACATAGAAGGATGTTGTGAGGGTTGTAGACTGATCTAGGTGTTTGAATCTGTTTATTTTTCTTTATTATTCTTTACCTCATTCAAACCTTTTTATTGTATTTCTTTTCGCTATTTTTCTCAAACCTATTTATGGATTTCTGTTATTTGTTTGAAGGTATTTGGTTAATCTGCTGTTACTATAAATTGATTTAAACCAAGAGGATTAGTATCTGAAAATTCAAGGAGCCATATGTATTTGTCTAACCCTGATTCTCACCCCAAAATTTTTTAACAACAAAAATGAAACCCCGGTCATAGGACATTTTTCATCTGATTCTGTTTTATTCTATGTTTTGTAACAGACTACTGAAATAAGTTTTGTTCTTTCTTTTACAGTTTCTTCATTTAAGATTTTCACCCTACTCATTCTTAAAGACTCCATTCCTTTTACATTTTATAACCGCATGAGCAATGTTATGAAAACTGGATGAATAACCATTAACCAGTGGACCAGGAATCAGGGCAACTGTTCTCTTTGGAAGAGAACACTCCAAAAAAGATTAAATCGGATTGAACCGCCCATTTGAATGGAAATCCATCAGTTGCTATTACTTTTATCCAAGTGATTCGCTGGTAGGACCGATGTTTGTACCAGATCAACCTTTTCCCCAGTTTGACATCTGGTCTGGTTTCTAAAGCATTACTGCCACCTTCTCTTTCATGGATCTCCTCTTCTCTTTGTTCAGGTTTTATCTTTGTCCTACAAGCTCCTGTCCAGGTTCTTTCCAGCCTCCTTAACCTCTGTCCTTCAGTAATCCTTCTTCAGGTCAATCCCGATCCCTGGCGACCTTCTCCCCTGTTTTTCCTTATATTATGTGATAGACCTCTCATGGGATCTGTTCCTTCCCCTTCCTCCTAATTACCCCCGAGGCCCCTCTTATTTTCCCTAACATTCTGTACCACTATTCCTTATCTCCATGACTCCTCTGCTTTAGTTTTTTTAGGAAGCTACCCCAATATTCCTTGTTTAGCCCACGTGCCCTATCCCAATTTTTTTTACTCATGGAAGAAGGGAGAAATAGCCTCTCCCCCATCCCTGATAGTGCCTACCCTTATGCCCCGTATTTGCGAATAATTTCAATTCCTCTCTATATACAACTGCTTTTATTGTTACTAGCCTTTCCTCTCCCTTTTTCTTATCATAGTGTACTCCTATTGGACTCTCCCATTATCTCTACTCAGCTGTCTTTTACCCTCCAACCTACCTGAGCTAGATCTTAGCGGTGGTAATGGGTCTGGCAGCCCGGCCCAGGCCACTTTGGCCTGAGGGGCCAGGCTTGGGCCAAGGTCACTATAGGTCTGGGCTGACCAGGCACAGCCTGGTATTTCTTTAGTCCCTTTTTTTTTGTTCTCTTTTTCGTTGAATCTATTAGGGCTGACTCACCCTAGCCCAGACTGTGATAGGACCGGGCCCAGGCCCCTTCAGTCCGGTCTAGGTCGGTCTGGGCTTGGGCCAGCCCTAAGGGTCCTGGGTCGGGCTTGGGCCAGGGCTTGGGCCAGGGCTTGCCTGACCATTTGCCAGCCCTACTCTGTCTCTTTATCTAAATATGCACATTCATACATTATACACACACACATATACAACATGCATACATGCATACATATATACATAAATATATCTTTTATGTTGCATCCAGTGCACACCTAAAATGGCCATAGGCAAGTTCTGTTTCAACTTGTATGCCCCAGAATTTCCAAAAATTCCCTCCCAAACCAGCCATTTTATTTCTCTAACCTGCACGTTCCTCTTGCACAACATTTCTGGTTTCTCATTTCTATTCCATCAGCTGTACACCTGTCAACTAGCAGCTGTAACCTAGCTATTTTGACGGACCTCTAATCTCCCTAAATTATCTATTTCTAACCAAACCATTATACCCTTTTCACTCCCTCGATGTCTCACTCTAGCTGCAATCTTGTGCAAACCCCTCCTTTCCCTTCCTTCGGTCACCTTGAAAGACCCACGTGTCACACTTCTGGTTTGCGCTCTGGTTGCTTCCATGTTAAACCTTTCGTCTTTTCAAATTTTATGTCTTTTAATTAACTAAGAGCCATATACTTATTTTGACAACAAATTTTCTTTAGTGATAAAATAACTTTATTCCGTTTTCCAACTGAAGTACAAGTATAGGAGATTTAAGTGCAAAACTGGTTGGGATGTTTGTAGTTACCATAAAGGGCTGTTGGAATCTTAGCTGGTAGGAGCCAATACAAGCAGTTTAGGTCTTTGCCCTCCTTCCCTAGCTAAAGAATCTGCTAACATATCCTACTTTCTCCAAATAAATATTGACAAAATTTACTTGTAGATGTGTACATCACTATTGTACTCATAAAAAATATGGGTCTGCTGCCATGGATCAGCAGAAAATAGTTAACTTCATTTCTTCCTCTTTATTTCCCTTACCACTTCTCTTCTGGCCTTCTGCCTCATGTATTTCCTCTTCCAAAGGCATCACACTAAACCCCAAAATCTATTCCTTATAGCCAGTCTTCTACTCTTTCCATACATTTGTCCCCCAAGTTACCGTGGCTTTCCATTCTGCAAGAAAACTATTGGTCCCCAGTCATATCTCTTTCTCACTTAATGCTACCTCCTGCCTACGAAAATTTGCAATCGGCTTCTAGCTTCTTCCTATAAGTTCTAAGTTCTCACATAGCTCATGACTTTTTGGCTCTTTACATAGTCTTATTATTGCTTGTGAATACAAATATTTCCTTAGCCTCTTTCTGGTTGCTTTGGTTAAATATTTAATATATTACATAAGCATATGTTTTTTTTGCACTTTTTTTGTCATAAATATTTTTTCATGTGCATTGAATGGTTAAGAGACATTTACCATGCCTTACACCTTGCAGACTTATATTATTTGATTGTTTGTTTGATCTCTCTTTATCTCTCTCCCCCCTCTGTTCCCTCCCTTCCTCCCTCTTGTGTGTGGGCACGTGGGCATGTGTGTGGGTATGGGTGTGAGTGGGTGGGTGGGTTAAACAGTAAAACTGATGCCATATATTGTTTTCTGTATCACTGCATTTGGATTCACAGGTTTCAACTGTGGAGAGGCAGCAAACATTGCCACACCAGAATGGCTGAGAGTGGCGAAAGATGCGGCTATTCGTAGGGCTTCTATTAATTATCCACCCATGGTGTCACATATCCAATTGCTGCATGCCCTTGCCTTGTCATTCCATTCAAGGTGTGTTCTTGCTCCCTATCTTTAGAATATTGATCTGTGCATAAGAGTTGATGTTCTTGAATAATTTAATGTGCTATCACACCGCCATTTAGTATTTTGAGGTCCCCAAGTGACGGTTTTCTTTTCATTCATTTTATACTGTTGATGTATTGTGGACTACTAGCAAGAGTGTGCTATATGGTTCAAGGGTTATTCTGCAATTGGCCTCTCTCTGGTTGCTTATATATATATATATATATATATACACACGAG